TGTGACATGCCGATCATCATCATCATCATCATCATCATCATCATCATCATCATCATCATCATCATCATCATCATCATCATCATCATCATCATCATCATCATCATCATCATCATCATCATCATCATCATCATCATCATCATCATCATCATCATCATCATCATCATCATCATCATCATCATCATCATCATCATCATCATCATCATCATCATCATCATCATCATCATCATCATCATCATCATCATCATCATCATCATCATCATCATCATCATCATCATCATCATCATCATCATCATCATCATCATCATCATCATCATCATCATCATCATCATCATCATCATCATCATCATCATCATCATCATCATCATCATCATCATCATCATCATCATCATCATCATCATCATCATCATCATCATCATCATCATCATCATCATCATCATCATCATCATCATCATCATCATCATCATCATCATCATCATCATCATCATCATCATCATCATCATCATCATCATCATCATCATCATCATCATCATCATCATCATCATCATCATCATCATCATCATCATCATCATCATCATCATCATCATCATCATCATCATCATCATCATCATCATCATCATCATCATCATCATCATCATCATCATCATCATCATCATCATCATCATCATCATCATACACGTTAGCTGCAGGTGGAAAAAGCCCCAGCTATTGCGCCGCAATACAGAAACAAGAGGCACGCCGGTTGAGTTCGCAGTAACAGATGGACATTGTTCCGGAGAGCTAACAGCTGGCTATCGCACCATAAAAAGAGAGTCATATTATGCCTAACAAGTGAGATCGTAATTGGAGGGGGATGCTAAGCAGGAGGAGGATGGACAAAGGAACTCACAACACAAACGCCATTGGGGCCGGCTCCATGCCATATCAGCAAGTGTGTCTAACCAAACGTGATCACCGTCCTTAGAACCCCAGCCAAGTAGTCGGGATGCACAATCGATGCCAACTTCGAAGTGAGGGTTTTCATCTCTCTCGACCAAGTCATCGCTTGGCCTCCCCTCCTCCTTTTCCAACCGCACCCACAACGCGCAAACAATGCACGTCGTGGGAGTCAGTGTGCTGGCATGCGCAACACGTGGCCCAGCCATTGGAGCCTGGTGCGTGAAATAATGGTGCTGAGCAGTTCACTCGCTCTTCCTGCACCAAATACGCGACGTCGAGCACGCTCATTGTTCACGCGGTGCTCTCCCACCAGACATGAGCTAAAATGCGAAGGCAGCGATGATCGAACGTGGCTAGCCTCATTATGTCTGTCGACCTGCTGGGCCAGGTTTCACAAGCGCATAAGAGGGTTGAACGTACAACTGCATCATAAACTCTGCCCCCCTTCAGAGCTAGGGCCAGGTTGCACAACCGCATAAGAGGTTTGAAAGGACGACTGCATTATAAACTCTGCCATTCAGGGCGAGAGTGACGTTGCGTCTGAGCCACAGGTGGCGGAGATTGGCAAAAGCACCTCGAGCTTCTGCTATACGGTTCGTAAGCTCAGCTTCACTCCTACGGGCGCTAATATAGCGGCCCAGGTACTTGAATTCCTGAAGGAATTCTAGCTGATCACCACAAAGCGCCAGTGCAGGGATGGGTCGCTGTCAATCTTGGAAAATAATTTTGCATTTCGATGGAGCAAAGCATAGTCCAACATGATTGACAGCCAGTGCTAATCGGTACAGCACAGCCTGGCACGTTACGGCGCTGTCATATATGAGGGCAATGTCGTCCGCATATTCCAAATCAAGAAGTCGCTCACCAGGAAGTAGCCCCACACCTTCTAGGTCGTGTCCAGCGAACGCTATTTCTATGACTTCATCAATAGCGAAATTAAAGAGGAAAGGTGAAAGCGGGCAATCTTGTCTAACGCCACTGGAGATATTGAAGGGCGTCGACAGTTTGCCATAAACTTTCACTATGGTTAAAAGCCTTACCGCAAGGCCCAGGGGTTTTGGCATTGGACTAAAGAGAGCCCCTCTTATGGAGTAAGGATCCACTCTCATTCCAACCCCAACCTAGAGGGCCAGGAGACTGAGTTTGTCTGGCCTCTAACCGTTGACCAATCTGATATGAGTGACTCTGAAGATGCAAAAAGCACCACCCAGCATAGCTCAATGGATCACTGAGGCACACCAACCATCGCACCGCGCTAAGGTCGAGTCTCAGCTCTAACGATATAACAGGATTCAAAACATGTTATCGAGTGTGCTCAAATTGAGTTCTCGCAACCAGTGATCATCGGGGCGATACAAGCATGTCACTGAAAAGTACCAGACTAGTTCGCAGTGAAGGCTAGGTCAAGTCCTAAGTATGCCAGTCGAATGACGTGCATTATACACCATAGCCGCACTAAGTTGAGCAGAAGGTTCGATGTCGCACAGAGGCATAAAGAAATTGACTGAGAGACTTAATCAGGCTGTCGCGTGTAGTCTTCGTGGATGGGAAACCCGGGATGGTTCACGCAAATGGTTAGAGACCGTATTAGACATGGCGCAGTCACGCAGTCAGTGGCGTTACCGCATTCAGTTTCTTGCATGCGGTCGTTAATTTTCGTTCCATTCTGATTAGCTTAGCGCACCTCCTTCTTGCTTCCATTGTCTTGACATTCTATTTACATCCAACCCCACTATTTTGCTGTTCATTCATTGTTAGTTTGGTGATCTGAGTCATGACAACTGGATCCACTGCCCTTCAGTGCAGTTGCCGGCATCCGGTTTCGGATTTGCCTGTCACTGTGGCCAGCCACAGGACGCCTGCGTCTACAGAGGGACCATGGGTGGCTTACGCTGCATCATCCACAGCTCCAACCACACACCCCATATCCAGTGTAAACCCGAAGGAATAAGACCGGGAGGCATGTGGATGGGAACCACGTGTCATCAAAGGAGCCGGCCCACACTCCTTCACAGGCAAACACAAACACGCTGTATTTGGGAATCAAGCGCACACAAGGCGGTGGCTGGACCGTAATCTGTTCTACACTGAGTGCATGGAACCACTCTTCGAGCCTAGCACGGCCACAAGGACCGTGCACCCCGCCCCCCCAGCAACGACCAACTGTCTCCTGGAGCCAGTATGGACGAGGTAGTGGGTAATAGACAGGTAGGCACCTTGTCAACATGCACATCAAGCGCAGCCACACAGGGGATATCAAGCAACAGCCATCCACTTTAAACGACAAGCTGAAATAAAATAAATCGGATAATACATACAGATACGGTGGCATAACTCTTCTCTAAATTACCATATGAAGTAACTTGGTTAGCAACGAATCTGCGATAAGTAAGAAATGTCCACAAGTTACTTAAAAAAAGCTACAAAACGCAACAAAGTTACTGAAGATAAGCGCAATTAGTGTAAGCAACGTGGCCAGTTAGTAGAACATTATTCAGGCAGGCAGAACAAACCAAATAAAGTGAAATGAAATTTTCCCAGCTTAAAAAGATCTAGTTTAAGTGTAAGTTGGTTTAGCCCAACTGCGGTGAAGAAGCATCAATAATGCAACATCAGCCTCAGCATGGGGCATATATATATATATATATATATATATATATATATATATATATATATATATATACAACACGAATAACAGTACAATTGGCATAGTGCCACAACATACGGAGAATACAATAAACATATAAAGATAGAGGAATAAAACAGGGATTCATGGGAATAGTGAGTCACAACAAGTCCGCCATTGTGCACGGTTTCTTGCGATATCCGCAAGTACATCCAGCCATGTGTGTTCCTGATCCTTCCCAACCCCACCAGGGAGCCCAGAGCGCCGAACCATCGCTAACTTTGACGTTAGCTCTTTCATGTTCCTGGTCAAAGTCATACGTTGGTCACGTTCCCTTCGCTTCCAGCCGACTTCTCTGCTCGCGAAAAGGCCTCGGCGAGGTAAACGATGAGTAGGCATGCGAAGAACATGCTCAAACCACTGAGGTCTGCGCAGAAGAATTATGCTGCTCAATGGTTGGTAAAGTCTGTCTGCCCTGAAAATTCTCCCTCGAACGTCTACATTACTAGTGTGGTGTTCCCATCGTACACCAGGAGTGCTCCGAAGGCAGCGGTGATCAAAAACAGACAACATCCTTTACGCCAACAGGCCGTCTCGCAGCCATAGAGTAGAACCGCTCCCACTGAAGCATTGTAAACGGCCCTTTAGAGATAGACTCATATTGCCTCGACGCCAAGGATGACAGAGATTGGCAAAGGCAACCGAAGCG